TAGCGTTTTTCACTGGAAGGAACTGAGTGCGCACTGAAATTGCACAAGTGCGCACCGATATTGCACGATGTTTCTGAAAGTGCGAGTTTCTTGCACTCCCAGTTAAACATTTGACGCAGATCAAGTGTCACGTTTTTTCGTTTTTAACCTTTCTACGTACGAATTTGTTATAATGGGAGAATTTGAAGTTAATTTTAAAGTGAATGATAAGTTGCTAACAATAAAACTGCAACCAAGCGAAGTGGGACTTTACAATAAACTAACAAGTATGTATTATATTTTGAGTTTATCTATTGTAGAATCTATTTTTAAATGATTGAAATATATTTTGCAAGTATGAAACATTTTTGTAAAAAATACACATTTCTTGTAAAAAATTACTATTTGAGCAATTTCCGTTCAGAGGATCAAACCAAGATGTACCATGTTTGTAATTATATTTCAAGAAAACTACAAAACATATACTAAATAACATTTCTTTAGTCTTTTCAACGTTTTCTTTCAACGTCAAAGACTAAAGAAATGTTATTTAGTATATGTTTTGTAGTTTTCTTGAAATATAATTACAAACATGGTACATCTTGGTTTGATCCTCTGAACGGAAATTGCTCAAATAGTAATTTTTTACAAGAAATGTGTATTTTTTACAAAAATGTTTCATACTTGCAAAATATATTTCAATCATTTAAAAATATATTTAAAAAATAGAAAAACAGTGATAAATTTGTACACTCTGATCACTTTTAGACGATGATATCTACAGTAAACAGTATATAGAACTCCTGATAAAAAAAGGATTGTTTATATTAGACGGTGATCAAGGTCACGAAATTCGGGAAATATGTCGGATAATTGAAAATAAGTAAGTAAAAATGTAGTCAAGTTTTTGTATAGATCAATGTTTTGTTATTAATAAAAAAATAATTTTATACAATTATCTTTTCTTTTCTTTTCATTGAAATAACCGAAGTCTTATGTAATTAAAATGAAATATACATATTAATACAATAAAAAGTAAAGAATGATACATGTAAGAATATGTGTTTTATTACAGAGAACAGTTGATATTCCATTCTAACTTGCTTCGTAATTTAGACCACAATGATCAATTATTAACTGAGCAAAATAAAGAGAACGATGGTACACATTCAAAATTCGAATCGGAGCATGTTGACAAAAGTTGCGGTAAATGTATTTCCTTAATTGTGCTATCGCGTATCGACAGTTCACTGCGCAGTCGACAACCCGTATCGACGCACAGTTTCTGAAAAGTCGAAATAGACGCGTAAACAACATCTTAATAATATACGTCTTATTGCGAATAGTATTACCACAGCCCCAGTGGTCGAGCTGGCTAAGACGCCCGTCACGGATTGAGGGAGGTCCCAGGTTCGAATCCTGGTTGGGGTAATATTTTTCGCAATAAGAATTTTAATCGCCAGTTGCGGTCAATAAAAATTATTGATGTTGTTAATTACCACAGGCGACTTTTATGAATATTCTTACTAGTATGTTATTGTGTTAATTAGATTTCTGGACCAATTCAGCAACATCGTTCATGTTGGATAAGTATGAAACATACTTGGGCAATATTGGTCCTATGAAAAGATTCAAAACAAAAAAACAGATGTGGTTACAAATATCAAAAGATATGACAGAAATGTTGAATATTTCAAAAACTCCGATACAGATTGAGAATCGATACAAAACTATTCTCAAGAGGAAAAAAAAGGCAGTGGAGAATAATAGCAAATCTGGTAGCTCCAGAGAGGAGGTACCATTTGAAGAACAGTTGAAAAAAATTGCCCGTTCAGATGACAGCATTGAACCTGAGGTTCTGCGAAGTGCCAGAAATGTTAAGTATCCCAAATTAGATGCTGCACAAATGTTGTCGGAAAAAACTTGTAAGATTGGGCCTACAACAGATGTCACTGAAAAGTCGTCGGAGGTGATAAAGGCTAGAAAGATTACTCAGGATAAAAGATGGGAATATTATGAAAAAAAGGAAGCTGCAAAAGAAAAGCGGCATCAAGAAAAAATGAACTTGATACGTGAGCTATTCGGTAAGAAGGAAACAGAGTAATAAAGGGAAGAAATGTCAAGCTAAATAAATAAAGACATCGAAAAAAGTATAAAAATGGAACTGAAGAAAAATGGACGCTCTCATCTGGACGCTCTCCGGTCAAACTGTTGCAATGCTTAGAAGTATTAATTAGTTTTTTTTCGTTATCTTAGCATTACAAGAGATTATTATAATTATAAAGTTTATAAATTTTAAGTAATTTTTTAAGAAGTTATAAAATAAATGTTCTGTTGCATGTTCATGAAATAATTTAAACGTTAAAAAGTGATTCACAAATATAAGATAAACAGTCGAATACGTATGAATATTAAGAAAGTTATTTTTCTTATGTGCGAAGGATAAATAAACGGTAATTTTTCGTATATTGTATTGAATTTTATTTCACGGAAACAGTACCTCCAACAATGCATTTCTTTTAATTTCTCCCAATCTTCGAAGTAAAGCTTCTTGCTCTTCTCGAACAACATCATTTAATTCTTCATTATCATCTATGACATCTTCGAATTCCAAATTAATATCATCGTCGTTATCAATACATAAGTTGTGTAAAACACAACAAGAAATAATAAATTTTGATATTTTATCAATACTGTGAAGATGTAATTCCGTAAGTTGTCGAAAACGAGCTTTTAACAATCCGAATGTATTTTCGATCAATACTCGTGTCGCACAGAACCGTTTATTGAATTCACGTTGTTTATTCGTTAGATTTCCGTAATCTCTATAGGGAATCAATAGCCATTCTCTTATAGAGTATGCTGCATCTCCCAGTAAATGATATTTGCCTTCACATATTGCTGGTAAATTTTCATTAATATCCGACAGCTTTAAAACACGTGAATCGTGGATCTTCGCTGGAACACCAGTAAAGACATCAATAAACCTTTTTCTAGCATCGCATATGCCTTGTAGAGTAATAGACGGTATGTCATGTCTGTTCACATAAGTAGATCTAATTTTATGTGCTGGTGTTATCACTTTAATTGACGTACCATCAATGCAGCCCAGTACATTAGGAAAACCTGCAATCTTAAAATTATATGTACATTACGCGAATGTTTTGAAACATGAAACATGTAATTCTGTTTTAGTAAAAGTATTTTGACGTATTAATTTTCGTATCCATTCTCGCGCTTGATTCTTATAAATCCTTTTTCCTTCTGTTATATTAAATATTAAGTGTACATATTTCTTGATATAGTTGTTATTATGTACGAAATTTTAATAACGGTCGTGAGTTGTGGGACACCCTGCACACAATATCTTTTTGTGTAACATATAAATATAACATTGCATCAACATACTTGTAAGAACTCGTTTGCGGAGTGTTCCTTATTCTCAGGAAACTTGATTATTATTGGAGCCATATCAATTAAAAAATTTACTACTCGTTCATTTTGCCTGAAAGTTGTTGCAGGACATACCCCGAATCTTTGAGAGACATCTCTGAGACATACTTTATTTCCAGCGAACCTATATATTATATATAGGAGAGATATATGTATAAAACCAAGGTACTTGCATTATATTGACTTACCACAAAAATGATAATACATCCAGTTCAGCAGAAATAATTTCACTACCTCCGTGAGTCCGATCAGAAGGATAAAATTGCGAAATTGAATAAGCATCTATTAGTTTGTAGGCTGTTGTTCTTGACACTCGAAAATGACTTTTAAACTGTAATACATAATTATTGTATATATTATTTCTCTATCTTACACAAATAAAGGAAATCTATTAATACTGTATAGCACGTAACATACATGTATTAATTTCTTTATATAATACAATATAATCTGATGACATATATGTACTAATGAAAATACATATACTTAACCTCCTTATCCATAAGATTATGAATCACATCAATAAAGTTTTCGATTTTTGGAATTTTTCGTGATTCATCATTCCAAAGTTCTTCGTCACTACTAGATGATGATGAGGATAGCACATCTAGCAGATGAAGTGCTAATTGAGCTTCAAAATTGGTATTAATATCCCGCGCTGCCATATTGCACTAGATCGACACCGTCTCTTGGGGCTCGTGCCGAGTTTCTGCACTAAAATGCAAAAACTCGACACCAAGTTTTCCAGTGAAACAGTGCGCACCGCCTCCGTGCGCACCGAAAAGCTCAGTGAAACACGCTGCTCTTGACTAGTGCGCACTCAGTGCGCACTAGTGCAACCAGTGAAAAACGCTAT